CCGGGAAAATTATGAATTTTACAGATACTGATTTTATTAAAAGAAAAATAAATTCTTAAAAGTTAGGACATTCCTATTGGCTAGTTCCGCCAGAATTTTCGTTTTCAAATTTCCACATGCATGTATACGGAGTTTTTACGTTGTTAAAGAGTGGGTGCATAGGGGGTGAAAATGAAGACGCTCACGTTGTCTCTAAAACTTGGACAAATAACGGGATGACGCATGGTTCAAGCATCTTCATTTCACCTCGTTGAAGATCAGTCATGGCTGTAGGTATGACTTAATAGTGTCAGGCGTACGTTATATCGGTAATAAAGTTTTTGCAAGGTGGCTTGCTTATGGTTTTCTCAAAACCTTCATCAGGCGCGTGGTGGTGAAGGGCGCCATGTGTCCATGTGCCTAATCCCTTTAGCTTTAGAGCACCCCCCCCCCCCCCAAAAAAAAAAAAAAAAAATCTTGGACTATCCAGTGCAGACGACAATATTAACATTACAGGTACTAAAATACCTGAGACGCATATCGCTCTCTGCCTGCCGGGAAGAGCAGTAAAACAATTGGAGCCTTCTGTGCGCCAGCTTTTATATCAATGAATGGGTTTTCATCTAGCTAGCGTTTTTGACAGAGATGCATTCAATGTTTGAACACTGAGTTATAATTCAATATCACCAGGTTTAGTGACAAAAGACACGTAAATGCTATAATAGTGTATTTTTAGATATAACTGAAAAGAAAAAAAGAAACGATACTATTTCTCCTCTGTTTGCGCTTCAATATATCACACTATGTTATTTCAAAACCTCAACTTATTCCATGTAAACAAGTAAGCCTACGAGATTCGGATAGTAACTGAAGACAAATAATTTACGAAACTGCTCACGGTTGTTTGCAATGTTTGTGTAACGTCTCATTAAAAACTACACCAGAGCACAATAGCGTTGGGGAGCGGCGCGAGGAAGAAATCAAACATGGCGTTACTCAGCATAAAAAAAGCGGCCAATCAATGGGTTTGCACTAAGACCTTTAAAAGAATATTATCGGACTTCTGCCAAGAATGTTAATTTTCCCCGACGAGCTCTAGGTTAACGAACCAGACACTGAGGACCTTGCTCGTTATTTTTACCTTTATGCAGGTGGTAGGCACTTTACACCCACTTGGTATATATATAAAAAACTACTCAAACGAACATTGTGATTATAGACCTCGCCGTACATAGAATTGCGGAATCTCATTGTCTTGCTTGGAAGAGGACAGAGGCGGAGATCGGGTTTCTTACTGATCGGTTGGGAAAGAATGAACTAAATTGATTGGAATTACTGATACGAAACAGAAATTCAGACAACTCCGACAAGGTAATTGGTTCTTACCTGAATATAGTTCCTAGAAAAACAACACCAGCGAGCATTCAGCTAGAGTGAGCTACATGCAGGTAAGTAACTGGGCTTATATAAGTCATACACGTGTATTTTTTTTTACTTATTAACCATAGTTTTTATGCAGTAATCATATATAAATGTGCCCACATCTGAAAAGTACGTCTATCCTTTCTAAGTGATTAAGTTACTGCTTTCTGTGGAAACATTGTATTCAGCACAGCATCAAAATGCAAAGAACGCAAGACATGGTTCAGAAAGGTTATGTGGCTTTAATATGATACTGTCTTTAAAATATTTACACATATTCATGTGCTACTTCAGACTTCGGAATTTGATAAAATACCACAGAAAGTCCCAACAGTTCTTGAAAATTTGATGCCAGACAACCGTTGTGAATGCAATTGGGGTATGTAATTGTGTAAACTTTGTGGGCTTTCATTCACTCTCACGCTATGACTTACGTCAATTTCGGATGGTGACATCCCACACCTATTGGCTGTTACCGTCCATATGTACTGCTTTAAGTGCAACTATCTCAACCCTTCGCAATCAATATTTTTCATTATTTTGCGAATTTCTTTGTATTTTCATGGCTGAAAGAGGAAATACGTTTCCGGTAAATTGGGGGAAGCAGTTTTATTTTTGACCTCGAAATAGGAGCGACTTGAGGAGGGTGCAAGTGTGTAGGAGGGTAGTTCTTAGAAAAGCGACAGAAATTTACAAAAGAAATTGTTCAAGCGTTTTGTATTTGTTACTGGATAAAGTTCTTTTTTTTTTCAAAATCAAAATGCAAAAAAAAAAAAAAAAAAAAAAATCTTCCAGGTGGGATTTTTGCGGTTAAGCAGTTAGAAACGGACGAGGATTCGGTAAAGGAGGATTTTTGTATTGAGCGCCACAGACATTTTAAAGTCTGTGTCTTACAGTTTTCACTTTTAAAGAGTATATTAAAGATATACTCTTTATTGAAAATTATAAATCCGTGACAAGCCAAACTTCATGGAATTATGGTGTATAAAAGCTGAGATATTTTTTAATCTAAAGTTCGGTACCCCTGTATATATATACCTATTAATGTTTCTGCTGAAAGCATTTATCCGTCGGGATATTTTTCAACTAATATAGATAATAAATCTTGACATAATGACACATGTTTGATGACTACCTATAACTAACAACTAATTACTGCTAAGTGCAGCTCCGTTGATTGTTGCTGTTTATAATAAAAAGCGAAAAGGTCATCGCTAAAACTAACCATCGCTTGAACGTTTCCACCCTGCTTGTCTACTTTTTATTCAGACACCTTTTGCAGGTAGCGTGATATCACACAGTTGATACATTGTATCACAATACCTTTGTAACAAATGTGTTTTCCTTCCTGTTGGAAACGCACTCAAATATCGAGCGATATCGTTATTTTATGTATTTTACAGAATATGAAATGTACACGTTAAAAATATATAATTTCAGATGGACTAATATCCACATGTAGCAATAAAAACTTCCAGATTTACAAAATACTTCGCGATCAAAGATCTCCAAGTTTCGTTTTGTAATTCATATACTCCAATACAAAATTATTGTTATTCGCAAAGGTTGCCATGACTACCTGTCTTTCTGTTAAAACTCAACTTACCAGGAGCTTAAGGTCACCATAACTTATTAATTAGCACATCGCGTTAAATACCATCAATTAGTATATAGGCCTGCAGGTGCGAAAAAATCGGGTTATACAGAAGTATTGTGTTACTTATCGCAGCGGATTTAGCGCCATTTTGATGTTCGCAAATCAGGGACACCGCGTCAGAAATGACACTGGTGCATCACTGCGCTCACTGAGAACCTGACTGTGAGATAAGAGGGCCCTAGTTGTAAGCCAGCGTGGGCAGAAGCCTTCGTATTTATTGTTTCTGAGTCTCATAGTCATCGTGACTGATAAACAAAGTCATCGTGACCAAAAGTTTGTTTTGAATTTGTTTAGGCCTATGTGTGTGTGTAAGGGGCGGGGTGGTCGGCTCATGCCTTAGTTAAAATCCACTTTACCAAAAGAAAAAAAAAACACGTAGAGATGGGCCCCTGAGAATATGGTCTGGTATTTCTATTTTATCATTATTATTTCTTCTTCTTGTTTTTACACAATGTTTAACCCTAAGGTTTGACTCTCAGTGTGTGAAATATTCTCAACGGTTACCGGAGTGACATCCTAGAGTACACATCATACAGAATAGCGCTATAATTACCCAGGCTTTCATACTTTCATGCTATTTCGGGTTTGGTAACAATACGATTCTAAAAATGCGAAGATAGAGCGTAAGTCACTGGATGCCATGGTGGTACGAGAAAAACAAGGCATCAAATGGTAAAGGAGTCGTGTGACGCATAACAGTATACACGGTATCTCCAAACTGCGGTTAATTCATACGATGTTGTGTAATGTTTTTTTAATACAAAATATCTCTCCTGTTTTTTGTGTTCATGATAAACTAGGAACGCGTTGAAATCTCACACCTGACATATCTCGATCATAAGAGTTAATTTTAGTAACACACCAGCATTCAGTGCGTGTTAGAAAAATCTCATGTCTGTAGAAAATAAGTTTCTGTATCAGCAAAAGTTGGAGTGCCTATTAAGTTACAAATTAAGTAGATGAAATAAAATGAAATAATCAAAAAAAAAAAAAAAAAAAAAAAAAACACTACATGTAGACCTATATACCTGGGGCATGACAAAAAGCCACTTTTCTCTCTATGGAATAATGTTACCTTTTCTGCAAGTACCATTTTCATAAAAACGCAGCAGATTCAAAATAAGAAGTGTTCAATAAAAACAAGTCCCTGTTTTTTTCTATTTGTTTACAACGATAAAAAGTAAATCGACCTTGACCTTGCGTAACAGTGACAACCTTGACCTTGCGTAACAATGATCAAAGTGTAGGCGTCGAAAAGTCATCTCTTGTAGGAAGAAAACACGTTTAGTCTCTTTACAAAACGATTCATTTTAATCGTCATAACAGAGAAAATGAAAACCTATTTCACCGTATACAGTATAGTCCTACAATGTAAATGTCATTCATGATTTCCGACCTCTCTTATCTTTAATAAAAACAACTTTACTGTGTGGTCTTTGAGTAACATGGTTTTTACCTATACTGTACATGTATTGAGGTACACAAATTACGAGGTCTGTGATGTACATACATGTATAAGGCTGGGCTGGCTTGGACCAGAAAATGTCTATTCACTCAATCTTAATTTTTGTTCAAACCTACATCAATGATCACGAATCCATTCATTTCTCGCATTTGTTGCCCAAGTAAGTAGGCCACAATCGCCCGCGGTGTTAAGCGTATTATAAGCGTATTATAACACGTACATACAGAGGACACAGCAGGTTCTCGCAAGTTTCTAATTCATTTGCAAGAACTCGATATATCCCCAGCAGGGGAAGGGTCTTATATAAATATTTACATGTAGCATGGGAACAACAATGTTGATCTTATTGTATAAGAAGAATTAAGCACACGACTGATGAACTGTTATTTCAGATTTCCAAAGAGAACTTTAGAGAAATATTTAAACAAAAGGGGTCCCTCCATTACAAAGTGACAGCCGGTGAAAGAATGGTACTCTTTGGAATAGAAGTCCGGGCTCCCATATGATAAGTACAGGTTAGGGTTAGTTGGAGTATTGGGGTTAGTATATGGGACGAATGTCACCTGTACTAAGTAATGGGGAGCGGACTTCGGTTCCTAGCGGACTATCATTCCTGTCACGCCTGTCCCGGTACTGATATTGCTTTTAAAACAAGAAAACAAGAATGAAGCAGGAAACCATCAGCCAGAGACGAAGTTCAAAACCTGCCGTCATTAAATTGATGGACTTGCTAATAATGTTCAAATTGGAAACAATTCCACAATTCCCATCCCACACTCGATTCATGGAATGTTTCCAACAGAACTGGCCCTTTGGGGACAGCAATGGTAAACTGTAGCGACGCCCACACAGGTGTTATTGGTACCTAATTCGATGTTTTTCCCCACAATTATAAATACTTTTGACCACCGGATATTTGTTATACTAAATATAGGCAATGATATCTCTGGCAACAGGAAAGCCATCAGAATTTGGTTTTTATAGGCAACGTTACACCTGAAATATCCGATTTCAATAAAGCTCAAAAACGCACGATCGCCCACCAGTGTTAGATATATAGTTACCGGTACATTTTACGGTGGCTCTTATTTCGTTGCATTAACATATGCAAGTAACTGTACTCTTTATTAAAAAAAGTCTATATATATACCTGACCACCGGTTATTTGATTTTAGTCGCTACACTTAGGTCAATTATTTATGACAGATATTTGACATACGTTAACTCATAGATAAATATTCTTCTTCAATCAGATAAGCTCGCCCACTTCAGTTGAAAAGTTACGTGAGCCGATGGCACTTCCTCGGGTTTTGTTAACGGAAGAAATGTAAGAGGCATAGAAGAAGATGAATCGGTTTTATCTTATTGCGCGTTTCTTATATCTTGCGTACCAATAAGCCACTTCACGTCAATTAGATGTACAGAGCCTCACTTACCTATGGCAATGTTCGACTTTATGGATGAGGCAGGGAGGTGGGGGGGGGGGGGTAGCAACTCCAATTCAGCTTCGCTTGAGAGCAGCTGAAAATCAAACGTTATTAAAGTATGATTAGTAACTGGGATGGATTTAAATGTATATAGGCCTATATGTGCCATATGCAAATAATAAACCCTGTATCTTTATGACTTTATTTATTTATTTAATATGTTTTCATTGTTTTAAAATTATATCGAGTTATTTGCTATTTAGAATCTTTCCAAAAGCTAAAAAAGAGCTTATGTTTTTGTACTGTTTTATAAATGCCGATTGAAAAAGAGTTGTACTTGAATGGAATAAAACAGAGAGTTGTGTTGGAATATCTTACCCTTGAACTCCTAGACAGACTTTTGGATTTCATAGCTTATTTTTTTATCAAAGTTAAAAGATACTTGGACGTCAACGCACATATTATTAATAAAACATTTTAATATCAATCTGAAAAATTGTTCCTTAATAACTGCTAGCCGGAACAGCGTCATTGGAAGCATACCTAGATTTTTGTTGCATTTCTGTGTTCGATGTCAATCTCTGGGAGGTCTGCTGAAGACTGTGTGGTGAAAATTGTTGCCAATGGTGACGGTTCCGTCCAGGTTTGGTCTTCCATTAATTATTTGGTGTCAAACCAGCCTGGTGCTTGCCAATGAAAATGTAAGTGCTGGCATTTGGAGGCAACTCCTGACGACAAAAATGGCGCTATATGCTAGAGCCCATTATGGCCGCAACTTTCTGTTCCAACATGACAATGCACAACCTGTACCCACTTTTGTGCCTCTCTCCCATTGTCATCAGTGAACAAAAAGTTCCAAAATTTTTAGCAATATGGTATAAACCGCAGTAGACTACTGCAATCATACTGCAAACATGCTTCAAATCTGCTTCGATTTGGGAGCTAATTAGCATATTTGAAACATGCTTCTATCATGCTGCTAATCTACTGCATTAATGCTCCTCTCTGTACAAACCTATGTTATTTTTGGAGTAGAATTGCAGTAGGCTATGCTGCATTTCTACTCCAAATATGCTCCACACCACTACTGCGTTAATGCTTTTTTGCTACTTCGATACTACTACTGCACTCTCCTGTGCAAATGCAGTTTAGCTTTGATAGGTAGCATTCTCATAAAGTTAAGGTAACGCTCGTATATCGCTCCGAGATATCGAGCCTACTCGTTTTTATCAGTTACCTATACTGATACTGTAATTGATACGCAAAGACGAGATTTTGATTAGTATTTCTCTCTTTATTTATCAACTTAAGATATCGGAATAAATTTATGTCTCGTTCGGATATACTCTTTTTTATTTCAAACGTTTTATTGAAAATAAGTTAAAATATCCAACAAACACCTGCAATTTAACGGATATGCACTTCCGCCGCTTGCTTCCTGTGTGGCATCAACTTTTGCCTGGCAGGGAATAATACTTGGAAAGTTTGGTTCCAAAACAACCAGCAAATATTTTGTTAAATTATCTTGAAAGTTCACCAGCAATTTACCGGTTATCCATTTCCTTCATATCTTTCCTGTTTTGTACGTAATTGCCGTGTACCTGTGCAATAATTACATCCTAAGGATTAAACCGAGATTATGTTAAATATTTAAATTACCTATTCCCAGTAACTGAAACGTAAAGAATTCAAAATAATTATCTTCACAATAAAACTCGTTGCTGACAAAGTTAAATCAGATCACGAACTGGCTTTGGTTGATCTTTAATCTATTTGATCACAATGACAACTAGATTTTGCTTCCTCTTATATAAAATGGTGCCATTAATTAACGTCCGTCGTCCGATTTGGGACCAACCAAAAGTTGTAAATTGACCATATTGATAATGAGTCCAAATATTACTCTTATTCATTTATACATCATGGCCTGACCTGAGGGTGGGAAGTTTTACTTCTATATAGTGGCCGATTCACCAGATCTACGAACATGAGAACAACCGGTGTGACGTGACAGAGAATCCCCTATGATAGAAAGTCCGCTTCCCGTTTCATTTGCACAGGCAAGCCTCGCACTCGATTTTGACCCACTTAGGTCAGGCTAACACTAACCATTGTAACTAAATGGAGGGCGGATTTTTTGTTACACGGACCCTCAGTTTCGTTACACCGGAATGGGTACTAAAATGATTTATTTTGCCGTAACTGTTTAGATAGGCGTTAAGCGTCTGTTACCTTTGATAACCGTCACCCGTGGTGATATTTTTGGCAGTCCGAGTTTGGACTGTTCACTAGTTTCAGAGGACATTGAGAACTCACCTGTCTTCCCTCGACATGGCTCTACCGCTCCCAGTAACACCCCAGTGTGACAGAAGCCAGTAGGATGCCCCCCCACACACACACACCATGAGATTCTTGAACAATATGATTGTTTGTGGGACCCTGATAAAGATTTAACCTCCTTTTATCCTAGTTTGTCAGAAATATCTCATTTTCCTTCAGTCAGTGTGTAGATGAGTTCCACGGATGATACACCCGCCTGCATGTGGTGTGTTGTAGGCATTCGATAGCTGTTCCCTCCATCCAAGCCTTATTTATTTATTTATTTATTTGGTTGGGGGGGGGGGGGGGGGGGGCTGCGACCCTGATCTCAGTACGCAGTTTATCTATTGCTAACAAACCTGTACACTGTGGTTTATGTTGGTACAATACCACAATGCTAATAGAACTTAGATATAAGATATCAAAAGAAGAGGAGAGCACAAAACTTTGATCAGCCATTTTCTGTTTCCCCCACAGAAACAGTTTAACCAGAATGAGATCTGTTGTTAAGTTATCTTATGGATGACAAACCGTTCCGTGACGCTGTTTGTCGTATATAATATCGCAGTCATTGCGTAAGATGTAAGCTTTTGTTATTTGTTGTAACGCACTTTTTTAAGATGAAAAATTCAAGTGCACCTTGATGTTAAATTTTATTCTTTTCTCCTATTACCAAAACAAATATTTGGTAAATATTTCCCACTGACGTAAAAAACGAGGAAACAATTTAAGCACTTAAAATCGGTACTTTTCAAACAAACCCCCACTCCCTGATGATTTGTACAACAAACAATTATTTAGAACTGTTCAAAGGCTGTTATAAAAGAAATGTTTATAGAATTTGGGGTGAAGTATAACAACAAATACGAGCAATATTTGTTGCCCCCGTTCTGGCCACTCTCAGCTCGCAGTATTTCCCCAATTATCCACTCAGCAAACAGACTGCGTACTACACGCCTCGCACGCCGAGATCTCAGCCAATGGTAACTGATTAACATTCTCATTGCCTATTTTCCAGATCATGGCACTGAGGTCTGCCAGAGGAAGAGCAGCTCCATCTGCACTGTAACAGCGAATCAGCTGGTGTCGCCGTTACATTATTGATAGAAATACGGGCTGCGCTTTCCGTGTCGTTTTAGACTAGTCCACACGCGGAGCTGACAGAGTCAGCAACACACCGCCGTCATAGTGCTCCACTGGGGACATGCTGCGTGCCACAGAAACCATTTGATGAACGCTCCCACGGCGCTAACAAACTTCATTAACAATCGCACATACGGTGAATATCAGTCGACAACAGTAACGAGGCAGACGCTATAAGCACATCTTGTAAGTTAATTTGGGAGTATAATCATTTTAAAGGTACCTTGAAAGGAAAACACAATTACAAAGGTGGAGCCGCTGATCCAACGGAGGTTTTGTTTCACGTCGCTTCACAGCAATTGTAGAACTATACTCTTTTGTTTAACAGAATACAAGAGAAGTCTTCACGAGGCTTAAAATGCCGTCTGGGCACTGGTCACCACTGGTCATACGGCTGTGTTGTATATTAACGGTCATCATCATGACAACAGATAGACTCTCCATCAGTGGTCAGTCGACGCGCAGCTGTCCAGAGGTCTGTAGGTGCCGTAACGAGAGGTACGCCGGGCTGACCACCGACTGTAGCTTCACGGGGGGCGGGATGAACGCCTCGGTCTGGAGAGACATCTCTCCCCGGACCAAGAAACTGTGAGTACCCCATGTTGTGCGTTTGTTGTTCCTTCAGGTTTATTTATTTATTTATTATCTATTTATTTATTTATTTTACTTTTTGCTCACCCTAAAATGAATTGTTCTCACAAATGAAGAATTAGTTTTGTCATCTCCTGTGTTGGATTTGTGCACTGTTTGTCATATTTTAAATATATAGAAACAGTTTCATATACACAAAGTTTTGCTTTATACTGTATACGGTATTCAAAGTTAAATGTTGATCCCCTGTCGTTTCAATTAAAATACAGTTGTTTGTCGCTGTTAGTGACATGTTTGTAATGCGACTGTACATCTTTATAATGACTATATTGTTATGAAATATTAAGGGGTTTCCATATCTTTTAAAATGAAATATTAACGAAGGAATCAAATAGGGATAGGTGGGTGACAGTTCTCACCACCGCCAGCGCCGTGGAACTCCCAAACACTTAAATCATATGACAAATAAATTAGATTGATATCTGAAAATGTTAAAAGTGAAGTGAATGGTTACGATCTTGAAATCTTATACACGTACACTGGCAGATATGTCAATATTACTGCTTGGACGATATAATGTTGGGGCAATGACAAAAAAATGTATTTTTTTCGAATCCGATTTGATGGCAATTACTGAGGGTGCCCTTCAGTGCTCTTAAGCACACAAGAGTAGTTGGCATAGCTCTTTGAAATAAACAGCTTAATTGATAAATCTCTCCGAAGAGAAAACCTTAATGCATTCTGTGCACGGATTGTTTTTCAAGTATAGTTGAAAGTAGAAAAACATGTAAACGCACGTATGGAATAATACTGGTATTGCTGTCGGTAAAAAGCAATATAGAATATTCCTATAGCTGGCGTTCTAAAATAAGCATGTCATTCGTTTTGATTGTCTTCAATCTTCAAATAAGATGTAATATTTGATAAACGCTGATACTCTGATGTCTGTTGGGTTTAAATGTTTATCCACTAAAATAATAATGCCATCACAATTGCCTTCATCTTGACAATATTTAAAAAATCAAAAGATCAATTTCAAATTCTGAAATATCTGAACTTCTTTTGAACGACTCGCCATAGAGAGATGTGTTTATTCGTTTATTGATAAGCATTACACGACTTGGATATATCACGTACGAATTAAGCCTCTCATATGATATTATCAATAATTAATGCCACGAACGTCGCAAAATGATACGTGCATGTCTTTTTTATTAGAATTATCTCACCACACATTGTCGTTTTGTATAAGACGCATGTAAAGTCTTATTCTGTGCTTTGTTTATAATCGTTTTGCTGGTTTGCCTTTTATGCTGATGGGTTCGGGAAACCAAACATACACTACATTAACAGAATTAGTGCTGGCTTCGGAAATAGTTGAACTTAAGGGTGAATAAGTTAAAAAAGAAAATATGGAATAATATGGAATAATGCTTCCTCCTATGAGGAAGCTTTGTGAAGAAAGAACACATTTGAGTCTGGAGGTAGAGGCTTCCAGGTAATTTACCTCATTGTTTTCGCAATTTAGGCATATTTGTCAAAAAAAAAAAAAAAAGAATAAATAAATAAATAAATAAATAAATAAATAAATAATAAAAATGCTTTTTTTGCAATAAACCTACACTAGCAAATATGGTTGTTATTACAGAGATATTGAGACTAGTTCTAAGGCGTAGAATGGTTTCTCACAAATAGAAAGGATATCTTACGAACCTACTTGTTAGAGCGGTCATAGCTCGAAGATTGCTAAGATAAGAAATCAAGGAGCGCTGTCTCTTTTTGCCAAGTTATGAAGCCTGCTACGAAGCGCATGTAAAATGGAGATTTGACTCAAGAGAATCTCTTTACTTGTAAGAAGTTAAATATCTTTAAGGTGGATGGATCCACACACTTGGTCACAACAAAGTCACCCACTGTTGTTCAGAAATCTAAGCTCTTGTGAGTTTAAAAGGTCGCATCTCGCTGTGCTGAAGCGTTTTAGACCCCAAAATGGACCAAGAGCGTGTCTGTTCAGGACTTAACGCAAACGAATTTGAATTCAGAACGCAGCGAAAAGTTGCCGTCGCCGCCTGTGACATTTGAATAATTCACCATGGCAACACCACGTAAGAACGTTTGCTGCTGGCATGTTCTTGTAATACAGGTCATAAATATCGAAATATAAGTAGAGCAAATATTGATTATAGAAATCTACAGATCATTTTCAGGCAAAATCACACGGTGAGATACAAGCTCAGCTACTCGCCTCGCTAGGACGTTGGCTCCAACCATTTATCTGATTTTAATAACGAACCTACTTGTTTGGAGCAGTCCCGTAGAATGGGGTTGTGAGAGAAAAAACGAAAGTAACCTGTTTCTAGAATGAGTCAAATATACCTAAAGACGGTAGCTAAGTTTGTAGGTCGAAGTGTGCACTGAGTCGTTAGAGTGGAGTAAATTACAGCGTCATAATCTTTTTCTTGGCGTTAAGTAGCGCTCTGTTGGAAATCTGGGATACGGTCGACCTGCACGGATCTGTGACCTTTTGGCGCAAGATTGGTGACGTCATACGCTAAAGATCATAAAGCTACGACTGTTCAAGACAACGCTTACAAACGGGTGTCGATCAAACTGAGCGCTCGCGTATTTAATCAGCCACCAACTAAGGCGTTCCAAGAATCAAGTATTTTTGATAGCTTCTGAGTATTTCTCAACCGAACACCTCGTTGCACATCCACCCGTGACATATCAAGTTATCGTCAATCAGGACAGATTAAGAATTCACTGGAATTCCGGCTAGCTGTGACACGTATTGGTTTTTAATTCTTCTCTTTCACTTGTTGTGTTTCCTTCGTAGTATGGTGTACAGCGTTCATAAAATGAATTTCCTTTAGATTGGTAAACTTGTCAGCGGGCACTGCGATTGGCAATCATTGTATGGCATTTGATATTTGATACTTGATTCTTAGCATTGTCCATTATTTAGAAACAATGTCAGTTGGTATTATTGTTGAAAAAAATGTTAAATCAAGACGATATGTATGTGTAGTCAACCTCTCTCTTGAAATTAATGAGATACACGTCAAGGGCACTGTCAAAGCAAACAGCAGTCTGTCCCATATAAATGTCATTGGGTGGCAACTTGTTGTCATCGCTCTCATGAACAGGCTGCAAGAACAACATAAATGAGTTTCTCGTAAGATCAAATTCTTTAATCTAAGAATCTTGATTGCATTCCCACCTTAACGTTGCTCATAAGAACAGATTGTATAATTAACATGAGTCAGCTCTTTCTAAGAATGTTGAACGTATAGCATTTCTTAGTTTTCCTTTCCATTATTCAACAAGTTGTATTGTTAACTGTTGTCCGTATATAATATAGTATGTGAATCTACGCTTAAATGTTAATTTCAGTTATCCGTTGTGAAGTGGATTTTTTTGGCCGTACTTATAGTTGTCATATTTGCAAAAAGGAATTATTTCATTAATTTATCTTATTAATTTGGATCACAGCCGAAATCTTATTGTTTCAAAGTTAGACCATCCTAAAAATTTTTTCTAAAACCGCGTAAAACTTTTTGAAAAAAGGCTGTTCACTAGCAAACCAACATTTTCATAAACCTTAACCTCCTTTGAGGTTGTAAAATAAATTCTCTTCTAGAGAGATACACAGAAGAAACTCTCCCCCTTTTTCTTCTCCCTGTAATAGAGTATTTAGCGGCATCGTGGTCAACGCAAATCTGTAGCTGCGGCCCTGTCATCTGTTGGTCTTTACATTTATCCTTAAACGATATTTTTATTTAAAAGGCCTCATAAACGATAATTGCCTTAGATTTTCGAACACAAAAGCCAAAAAAATGACTAGATCGAGCCACGAATACCCAAACGTAAAAACACACGAAGACAGTGAGAGTGCTTCGGGTGTCATAACACTGTATTTGTGGCAAGTAATTTTACGTTGGGATACTTAATTCGTGGCTCGAGTCGTTCATCCCGGCAATTTTGCAAACGCCCAATCCGTTTATAAGGCTTGTATTACATCACGTTTAATTTTAAAGGCCTCTTTTGAATTTGATTATTCAGGACTTTGATAGACCTAAAAAACAAGTTCGTTGAGTCAAACAAAAGGAATTATTTCTTTTGTAAAGTTATCTAAACTGAGAACGTACTACTAGGAGCGGTAATTCTCGTAGGCGTTTCTAACAGTTAATTTAGTTTTCTGCTGTTAACAGCAAGATGCGTCGGCAAAAATGTCTCAGTTCTATATGAAAGATTGATTGAAAGATAAAGAGGCTTACTTTGTATCAGAGGCTTTCGCGGCAATTTTCATCCATTCATCAAAGAATGAGGAGCCATTCTCTTTTCAGTTCTGACGTAGCAAAACGGAAATAATGTTAATTCATGCGCAGATATCGGGTGAATTTTTCGTCATTTCAGGAAACAAGCATATCAAATTCAGCATAAAATAGATACACTCACACTACAGGTCACAACATGGCCATTTTTTTCATATCCGGTGATCAGATAACATTTTGGTTTGTAAAAAAGTTACTTGTTTCTGAATAGACAGAGAGCGTTTTCCCCTGCGAGCCAAAGCGTTTTGACCTTTCATCAATGCCTTTGGTGAAGGGGTCAAAAAGTCATGCCTTATAACTTGAAACACGTTAAGTCAATTAAAAGAAGGCATTATACGCGTACGATCTTTGCACAAGAGGGAATGAAAAACCTTTTTCGTCGTAATTTAAGATAACGCTTCAAACAAGAATTCCATATGCTCCCCGTAGTTGAGTGGAGTCTGCCTTTGTTTTCCTGGAAGAAATTATAAATACTCAACTTTTGGGTAATACTTGTCTGCTTCCATGTAATATGATTAAGGTTATTATTTACATTACATGAAAGTAATCGGAACTTGTTCACCATTTAAAGTGACAGTTCGTCGAATTTTTAAAACCCTTGAGTCGTTTTTTTTTTCTGGATTTTACATACTAACGTTTAAAAGGCGTGTAAAATCGAAAGAC